AGGGGCGTGAGATTTATTGGTGAGATGTTACAGTGGTGACGCATCAGTAAAGAAGGTGAAGCTTCAATCCCTACGAAAGCAATATGAGAACCTGAATATGAAGAGCAGTGAGAAAGTTTCTGAATATATCTCCAGAGTGATTCTGATCACTAACGAGATGAAGGCGTGTGGAGAAACTGTGTCTGAACAGGTAATTATAGAGAAGATTTTAAGGTCGCTTACTCCTCAGTTTGATTACATTGTTGTTTCTATTGAACATTCTAAAGATCTGGAAACCATGAGAATAGAAGAATTGCAAAGCAGCTTAGAAGCACAAGAGTTACGTCTGTCTGAGAGAACTTCTGAGAGGGAAGCTGAGCAAGCTCTGAAGGCTTCTTTTGTCAAGAAAGACCAGAAGCAGAATAGACGTGGTGATAGATTTCAGAAGTCAGAAGCCTCAAATTCTGATGATAAGAAATATCATAAAGGAGAGGTATGACAAAAGGAAGGTTCAATGTTACTCTTGTAAACAATTTGGCCATTTTGCCAGAGATTATAGGTCAAACAAGGAAAGGAAATCAGAAGAAGAATATATGGCTAAGAGAAACTCTGATGATGAACCTGTACTACTAATGGCTTCTGATTCTGATAGAAAATGCTCAGAAGATTGGTGGTATATGGACACTGGTTGTTCAAATCATTTGACTGGAAACAAACAATGGCTGAAAGACTTTAACTCCAGAAGGAGAACAAAGATCATATGTGCTGACGATAAGTATCTTAATGAAGAAGGTATGGGAGATGTCAGAGTTAGAGTGAAGAATGGGAAAGACATTTTGATCAAAGACGTTTGGTATGTTCCTGGTATTAGAAGCAATCTGATGAGCGTAGGTCAGCTGATTGAGAAAGTTTTCTCAGTTGTTATGAAAAACAATCTTATGACGCTGTATGATTCCAATCAGAAGTTAATTATGAAGTCTGAACAAGGAGGCAACAAAACATTCAAGGTAAATGTAGAAACAGCTGAAGCAATGTGCCTTAGTGCAGAAGGCACTGAAGGTAACAATAAGCTGTGGCATAAGAGGTTGGGGCATTTGAACTATAGAAGCTTAGGACATCTATGTTCTAAGAAGCTTGTACATGGTATTTCAAAGATTGTGAAGCCTGAGAAGTCATGTGAGATATGCATGAAAGGCAAGCAACCTAGATTGCCATTTACATCAGAAGTAGCCCCCAAAGCGAAGCATGCTCTGGGAGTAGTACATTCTGATGTGTGTGGACCATTTCCAGTACCTTCACTTGGAGGAAACAATTATTTTGTGTCTTTTGTGGATGAGTTCACAAGAATGACATTGGTAACACTCATCAAGTTTAAGCATGAAGTGTTTACTGAGTTCCAGAAATTCAAAGTGAAGGCTGAGAAGCAGAGTGGTCAGAAGTTAAAAATTTTGAGAACAGATGGTGGAGGTGAGTATAACTCTACAGTGTTTCAGAAGTTCTGTGAGGAGAGTGGAATAGAATATGAGGTTACTGCTCCATATACTCCTCAGCACAACGATCTTGCTGAAAGAAGAAACATAACTTTGCTTGATATGACCATAAGCATGCTGAAAGAGAAAAAGCTACCTCACGTGCTATGGGGAGAAGCTGTTGCCACATCAGCATATATTCTGAACAGGTGTCCAACGAAGAAACTGAAGGAAGTTGTTCCTTTAGAGAAATGGACTGGAGATAAGCAGAGTGTTAGTCATCTGAAGGTGTTTGGCTCTGTCTGTTACAAACACGTTCTAGAAGCTCTCAAGAAGAAAGAATGGCTTAATGCCATGAAAGAAGAACTTGAGGCAATAGAAAGAAACAAAACTTGGAAATTGGCTAAACTTCCAGATAATAAAAAAGCCATCAGCGTCAGATGGGTTTTTAAGTTGAAACTTAAGCCAGATGGTTCCATTGGCAAGTACAAAGCTAGACTAGTAGCTAGAGGTTTTCTTCAGAAACCTGGGCTAGATTATTTTGAGGTGTTTACGCCTGTAGCTAGGCATGAAACAATCCGACTGGTGATTGCTTTAGCTACAAACAGAAAATGGCCTTTAATGCACCTGGATGTGAAGTCTGCATTTCTGAATGGTCCATTACAGGAAGAAGTTTATGTGTCACAACCTCCTGGATTTGTGAAAAAGAATCAGGAAGGGATGGTATACAGGTTAAATAAAGCTCTGTATGGACTGAAGCAAGCGCCTAGAGCTTGGAATCTAAAAATTGATTCATTTTTCAAGAAGCATAGGTTTCAGAAGTGTGAGATGGAATATGGAGTTTATGTACAACACTCTGATAACAATATGATTCTGGTGTGTCTCTATGTTAATGACATTTTGCTAACAGGTAGCTTCCCAGAAGATATAAAGAAGTTCAAAGAAGTTCTGATGAATGAGTTCGAGATGACAGATCTAGGAAAAATGACATATTTCCTAGGGATGAAGATTATGTACTCGAAGAAGGGTATCATTCTGCATCAATTAAAATACGAACAAGAACTTCTGAAGAGATTTAAGCTGCAGAATTGCAAAGTTGCTGTGACACCATCAGAAACCAATCAAAAATTGGATTCTGACTCTGATGGTGATTCTGTTGATTCAACAACCTTCAAACAGTTGGTTGGTTCTCTAAGGTATTTATGTAATACTAGACCTGAAATTTGTTATGCAGTTGGATTGGTTAGTAGATTCATGAGTAATCCAAAGTGGTCTCATTTCCAAGCTGCTGTCAGAATTCTGAGATATATTAAGAGAACTCTGAGATATGGAGTGTTGTTTCCTTCTGAAAGAAAGACAAAATCAGAATTAGTAAGTTATTCTGATTCTGACTGGTGCGGAGACAGAGTGGACAGGAGAAGTACTTCTGGATACTTGTTTAAATTTCTGGGAGGTCTCATTTCCTGGAGTTCCAAGAAACAGTCTGTCGTGGCTCTGTCAACATGTGAAGCTGAGTATATCGCAGGTGCTGTAGCTTCTTGTCAAGCTGTTTGGCTTCTGAATCTCCTGCATGATCTGAAGGTTGAAGTTGAGGAACCTCTGAAGCTGATGATTGATAATAAGTCTGCAATTGATCTTGCCAAGAACCCAGTGCTACATGGAAGAAGCAAGCACATTGAGACGAAGTATCACTTTCTCAGAAGTCAAATGCAGAAAGGAGTGTTAGAAGTTCTGCATTATAGCACTCAGAAATAACTTGCAGATCTTCTAACAAAGGCAGTTAAAACAGATCAATTTCTTTGCTTGAGAGATGAAATTGGTGTTGTTAGCTTCTGATAGAAATATCTAAATTAAGGGATGGTATTGGAAATATAATTTAGTTAATGTCTATAATTCCCAATGCTTATTCTTTAATAGGGTCTTTTGGCATTTTCAAATTTGTAGTATAAATATGCTACCTAGGCTATCAATATTGTAACTCATTCGTTCCTCTTTTGATATACAATAGTAGTCCTCTTTGTTATCATTCATTGCTCATTCTTCTTCTCCCCTTTCATTACCTTGCACCAACAGGGTATAGGCATCCTCGATTTGAAACTGACATTGAAAAAACACAATAACACTCATCGTCCCTATTTTATAATTGTCGTGGAACCTATGATTTCTGTCAGGGACTTTCGATTGTATCTTTTACTTGGTGGAATTTGGTTCTGTTCTAGGCCGGCCATATTCATCTTGGACTGATCACTTTGAGATACCTCATACAGGGTCGAAGTCTCCTGACTGATTACATGGTTATGTTTATAGAATTTTCTCCTTACCATAGAACTATCCTATACCTTATTATAGGAGATTTGCGCCTCATGCTCATTCAACGGTCATCCGTATTCCATACATGAAAGATAGCAAGATCATTACTTTTTCCCCTATATATAGAGAATGGCGTCGAATCAGATAATAAGTTTTAAATACAATTTAAATACTATATATTCTTTCAAATATCGACTTGAGTATCAAAGTGTTATCTTTACATATACATCCCCTTCTACCACTATATCAAAAACTCAACTTCGTCGCAACTTCTGCATTCATCTCTATTTTTGATTCTAGAACAAAAATATTCTTTCATTTATCAAGGAAAAATTTTTAAAGGATAAATTATGTCTCGTTTTAAAGTTTTTTTAGTTGGTTTTTCTTTCTTTTTTAGAGTAAGGTATAGGGTCTGGTCTCCCGTATGTATTTTCCATTTTTTTATTTTTTATGAGGCAGAAGCAAATAATTGGGAAACATAGGATGTCAACATAGTGAAATTCATGTACTTCTCTATGATATAAGAATGTTCTTAATTCAGAAGAAAAAAAACCTATTTCTAGTAAATATATATGGTTAGTTGTGATTCATTAACTCTGGAGCACTCATACATAATATTAACTCTAAGATAGAACTGAAAAAATTATAAATAATACTGTATTAAATAAAAATAGGTTAAATATATTTAAAGTTTCTTTAAAGTTAGATATTTTTATTTTTTAAAATTTTTTGTTAAAGAATCGTTCCTTTAAAATTAATAATTTTAATTTTTGATCTTCTTATTAAAATCGTTGTTAATTCAATGTTAATTTAGTTATTAAATAGTAAATTATTTTTAAAAATCATTGTTAGTTCAATTGTTAAATTGTAAAAATCATCGTTAAGTTGTATGAAAAATCAAAAGTTAAAATTTATAACTTTTATAAAATGATTACTTGAAAAAAAATTTAAAATGATGAAAAAAACAACTTAATTTTAGAAGAATAATTCCTTTAAAGAAATTTTAAAAGAATGAAAAGTAAAAATATCAAATTTTAAAAGGATTTTAAATATTTTAACTCTATTAAAAGTAAAAGTGACTTTTATTGTGAGACAAATTTTATTGCAAACGTGATGATTAAGGAATCATAAACTTAACCTTATTGGAGTATTAAAATGGAATACTTCAGGTGTCCAACTTCTATATAGTCCTTTTTCCCATTTATAGGTAGGTACAAGAATTACAAAATTAAACTTCATGCAATGGAAACACAGAGTCATCAACCACTGCAGAATCCACAAGAAATTGAAAAACACAACACTTATGAAGAAGAAGAAAAAGAGGTAAAACTAAATATTTTATTGGATCTGAATGTTTCTAACAACTATTGTGAGTCCAATCTAGTCACCACAGATGATTCTTCTAAAACTTCTTCAGATAATTACACCCGCGGCTTTGAATCAGAGCCGCGGTTTTTCTCTTGCAACTTCTGCAAGAGAAAATTCTATAGTTCACAAGCACTAGGAGGACACCAAAACGCTCACAAGAGGGAAAGGTCTGTTGCAAAAAGAGGACACAAGTTTATAAGAACACACATGATGCTGTCACCAACAGGAACAACCTCATTTTTTCAGAATCATTTTCACCAAAAGTATGCAGATATGGCATCTCTACTACCACTTCATGGAGGTGCTAATAGCAATACTCTTAGACCACTTGGAATTAAGTCTCATTCAATGATTCAGAAGCCTTTTCATAACTTTTCATCCTATGGATTTGGAAGCACTTATTATGGATATAATGGTTGGTCAAGAGCACTTATTATGAATCAACAACCTGGTATAGGAAAGTTAACTTTGGAAACTTTCAAGGAAACGGGATTATCATCACATGGAAGTGTTGGGAGATTCAAAGGGGTTGAAGAGGACATGGTGAATCAAGGAACTCATTTGAATTTGAAGAGTAATCAAGAAGAGGTGAAGAACCTTGACTTATCCTTAAAACTCTAAGCATGTGTTCTTGTAGTATAGATTAGTCACAACTTGTTAGTAAAAGTTTAGGCATAGCTATAGTTAGCATTTAGGCAATTTTATATTCTCATTGTTTGTAATGATTTATTGTGTAAACCTTTTTATGATATGTTAAGGAATTGCCTTATTCAATTTCTTTCTTATTCTTTTTTGTTCATATTTATTCAAGTGAGGTTAGATTTGCTATGATCATGAGCTGGGAAAATGGATGAATTCATGGTGATTCATTTAGAAATAAGGATAAACATTGATATGAATGATTAGCAATGTTTATCAAGGGAAAGAGAAAAAAAGAAGGGTCAAGGTCAAGTGCATAATGTCCTTGTTTTTATTAAATTCTTTCTCTAATAATAATATAATAATTGAGAGAGTATTTACCCTCTTCTACATGAGACAAGGCTAAATTAATAAAAACATGAAAACTAAATTCAAAATAGTAAAAACCTAATTAGGTAGTTATCTAACATCCCTTCCCCCTTCAAAATGAAATTGAAATGTATGTCAATGAGATGAAGTTAAGGAAGTAGGTGATGAAAAAAATAGATTGCAAAATTTTGGTTAACATGTGTGCGACTTGGTCTTTTGAAACAGTTGGTAAGAGTTGCAAGATTCTAGATTGTGCTTTGTTTAACTCTGAGTTTCTATCCCGATGTATTTGCTACACTCATGAAATATGGGGTTGAGTTGACATTAATCTGCCTTGTTGAAATATGGAGGCTTGAATTGGATTTTAAATTAAAACTTTTCTTTTAAAAACATTCTCCTTTAATTAAAATATTTTTCATTCTCTCTTGATAATAACAATAATTAAGAACGAGAAGTAAAGAACGAGATATGTTTATACTAGTTCACTTGAAAACTATCAAGCTAGTCTAGTCCACCCGCTAAGGTGATTTCGCCTCTCTCAATCGAGGACTTAATTCAATAATCCAGCTGATTATTACAATGCACAAGCTACCTGGAAGTGACTAACAACCTCTAAGACACACAAGTCCTGGACTTCTTAAAGATACAGACCTAACCGGTTCCTTAAAGAAAATCAAACTTTTAAGACACACTAGTCCTAGACTTCTTAAGGATACAAATCTAACTGGTCCCTTAAGGAAATCAAACAACTGTTTGAATACAATTTTTGTTTACAATAATATTGCTTCTACACAAGCTGGATATATAAACTATTTTAAGAACAATGACTTAAGAATATGTAAACTACGAACAATGCAGTAAAATTAGCTTCTTTCTTAGTCTTCAAGCCTTTATATAGCCAATAAAATAATATATCCGTCGAGGGGTACTCTTGGGATTTCCAGAAACATTGACAGCTTGAGCAATCACGTGGAGGACAAAATCGTGCAACGCGTCCGTCCTTTCATGGTAGTGGAATGAAATGTTGATTGTACCGTGTATTATTTGTACCATGTTAACGTTATCTTCTTTCCTTCTGCATTTCAGAGGCTTTTGCGAGCATGAGTTTATAAGCAAGAACATAATATAAGATCATCAGAACTTCAAGTCTTTAGATTCTTCTGAACTGCGTCTTTAGAGTCTTCAGCACTTGGTCGTGAGAATCTTTTCTTAGAACCTTGGATCTTCAAAACATCAAACTTTTAGAGTCTTTAGAACTTCTGTCTTAAAAGTCTTTAACACTTGGTCTTTAGAATCCTTATCTTAGAACCATGGGTCTTTAGAACTTCAAGCCTTTAGAGTCTTTAGAACTCTGTCTATCAGAATCTTCAGCACTTGGTCTTGAGAACCCTTTGTCTTCAGAAACATTAGTCTTCAGCATTTGGACTTAAGTAGAAACTTTTGTCTTCATATCTTCTGACTTGTTTCTTTATAACATGTTGTCTTCAGAAATATAAGTCTTTAGCATTTGGACTTAAGTAGAAACTTTTATCTTCAGATCTTCTGACTGGTTTCTTTAGACTTCGTACCAGAGCCTACACTTCAGAGTCTTCTAGAGTGTCTTGCTATTGTTCATCAGAAATTGTGTAGCGCATAAGCGGAACTAATTCTCTTCCAATATTTTGGCCACACCATCCATCAGAAGCAGAACCTGTTTCTTAAATACTCAAAATAACAAACATTAGAGAATCAAAATTTCTCATACAAACATACTCATTTGTTATCATCAAAACTCAGAGATAGTATTTTCGAACCAAATCTTATTCTAATAATCTCCCTCTTTTTGAAGATGACAAAACTATGTATTTTGATGACACAATTTTGTTCATATAATCATAAAAAGTGAATATAAGAAGGTAAGGAATACTTATCCTTTTGATGAAAACTCCCCCTGAGTCAATGACTTGATGAAGCTCGAATATACTAACTCTGAAACATTTGAGTAAAAACTCCCCCTGGTTCCAATAAATCAGATATTGAGATCTTGAGTGTCTTGACTCTAGATGCCAATGAAAATGAAATCAGTTGAAATCTTGAAACTCTAATGTTACTAAGACAGCTTCCAGATTCTCAATTCTTGGAGTCTGGTTCCAGATTTCAATTCTTGGATCCAATTCTGAAGCCAATAGATTAGACATAAGCCTTGCATAGTGCTTTCAAATATTTGTCTTTAATCATAGTTCTCATTTCCTGAAAAGGAAAACAATTATAACAGAAACAGAATTTTAACTGGGTTAAAATGTAAGCATCTCTTTTCAGAGAATATTTTCCAGAACTTGATTATTGAAATCAAAATTATGTTCATTTAATTACTCCCCCTTTTTGTCATTATCAAAAAGGTAATTGTGTGTGAAAAACATAAAAACCAGAAAAAGATAAGAAGTTTCATTGATATTTCAAAAGGATTACAACAGAAGGAGAAACAAAAAAAAAGAAGACAAACAAGGGAAACTAGATAAACTTCAAACACATAACAACTCTCATCAAATAGAGCATTGCTTCTGATGAACGGGTTTCTACGAATAGTTTTAATTACACCAGTTAACTCAAATAGTTCAGACAATACACGTCCATAAGGAATGAATGATTCTTGGGAGTTTCTAGATACAAGGATTGATAGCTTCAGATGATTAAATATTATAGTCGAAAGATTAATTGAAATACTCTTGTGAAGACAATAAAGAAGACATATGTCCCTCAAAAAAACTTTATCAAGATCTTCCCCTTTGGGATGAAGGTTTTTCAATAAGAACTGAAACCAGATTTATGAATTAAGGGGCTCATATCTAAAGGGAGAATTAGGTACTCTTAGAAACACATCAACATTCATGCATGAGTTAGGTAACGGTGGAATCTGGATGACTACATCAATGCAGGAGCGAGTGATGGTAATCAGAATACCAAAAATATGAGAATGAATGAAGTTTTAATCAGGACTGACAAAAACATGAAGCCATAAATTCTTCACGGGGTTAGAATAAATATGACCTCTAAGCATTGTTACATACCCAGACCATCCTTGATTTTCAATAAAACCGTTGATGAAACCATCATCAAACACATAGTTGAGTCTTTTCTATTTGATTACTTTGAGAAGATTTTCATCTCCTTGAAAGGTTCTAACAGCTATGGTATGTAGAAAATATTGAAGAGAAGAAATGGTTAAAGATGATACAAGGATAAGGACTTGATGAAAGTCAATAGATGAGAGGAGATATAAATAGTAAGCTAAGTCGTTCAAGAAATGAGACGATTGAAGTACTCAAAGGAATTAATTTTAAGAGAGAGACTCAAATGACGTCACAGACTGCTAAAAGTAGGGAATGAAAAGAGAAGTAGATCAAAAGTTAAGATAGAAGAATACGAGAACACTTAATTAAATCCCAACATGGAAGATCTTAGCAGTCATATCAAACAAAACATAGGAATAAGAGACTGTAATACGGTGGGAGAACTGACTTATTTTGCATTTTATCGCAGATGTTGTAGATAGCAAGAGTCGCCACCTTGTGTTGAGTGGTGTTGTCGACCAAAAATCAACAGGTGGAAGCGGGAAGTCGTCCTTGGGGCTCTCCCTTTTTATATCCTTGTAGTCTACACACATGCGTACCTTGCCATGTTTTTTTGGTACTGGAACCACATTCGCAACCCATTGAGGATAAGATGTCACTGATAAGAACCTTGTGTTGAATTATTTCATAACCTCAGCCTTGATCTTCTCTGACATATCGAGACGCTTACGACAAACCTTCTGTTTTATCGGAGCACAACCCTCTTCCTTCGGCAGACGGTGAACCACAATATCGGTATCAAGCCTTGGCATGTCTTCGTATGACCAAACAAAGATCTCAACATATTCATGAAACATTTGTATTAACCTGTTCTTGACACCATCCTCTAAGTTGACGCCTATCTTGACCTCTTTTCTGTCTGTTTTGGAACCCAAGTTTACCACTTCAACTGGGTCTTCGTGTGGTTGGATAGCTTTTTCTTCTTGCACTAACAGCCGAGCGAGTTCTCCTGGTGTTTCACAATATTTCTCACCTTCATCCTTGGCTTGGTATATAAGATTTTCAAAGTCATAAGTGGCAATAGCAGAATCGTTATCAATAGGATCCATAGTGGATGTGGATCTGCAATGTATTGTATGGGTATGTGTATGTGTAAGAACACATAGCTATTTGAAAGTGATAAAAGTAAAAAGAAAGACAAAGAACACAAATTTGAATGCAAAAAGTCTAATGCTTTATTAAATGAAAATATGTTTATGAAATGATAACCTTTAACAAATGAACCTTTGTGCCTCGGGTCAGGCACAAGGCTAAAAGTCATTGTTCAAATATTACAAAGCCAAAACTTGAAAGCGATAAAAAGCTGAAATGTAGCTATTACTCCTGACTAAAGAGGATAGAGATAATGTCTCCCGCCTTCCAGTTATTGAGCCCTTTGCCAATGGTAGGAAAGATCCAGCTATTGAGGTCATAATCACTGTCATCATCTTCTATTACATTGACTCCGTTGTTGCTGATGCGGAATGGTGGCCTTCCAGCTCGAGCGTGACGAACATCCCTTTG